TTTAGAAACAAAGAACACGTTTCTTCATCCTTCTCAGTTTTAAGTTCATGAAGCATGTAGGCCCAATGTCTAAATTTGTATGCTTCTGAAAAAAGGCACCAAATGAACAAAACAACCATTGATGACCTCATTTATTTGATCTACCAGATTAGTTCCAAAGAAAGCAAGAATATGTGAAGAAATAATGAATACCAGCTCCTTTAGCAGCAGCACCATTAATAAGTGTAAGCCCAACCATCAAAGGTCTGTAGAATCCTCTTCCGTTGACATACAGCATATGTATATCTGTCACATTAGTATCCTCCATGCCTTCTACCCATTTCAATATCGCCAACCCCACAAACAAAACCATCCTCTGCTTCAGCAGCTTCATGCCTCCAAAACTCTTGCCTCTTTGGCTCATTGCCAACAGAAACAAAAACACGGTGGCAACTGAAAGGGCTGCTTCACCAGAACTTTAAGCATGAAAAGGAAGAGTTCAAGAGAGTGTAGTCGGAGGGAAAGAAGAGAATGGAGAAGAAGTATATTCTTTCGGGAGAGAGGGAGAAACAAAAAGGCAAACTTTTTTCCAAAGGGTGTGAAATTGTCAAAGTGAAATCGGGGAAAGGAAATGATAAGATAAATAAGGAAGCTTTCTGCTTGGGTAATAAAGTAACAATGAATGCAGCAATAATAGCTGCAAGAAAACACAGAGGGAGCTTAAATAGAAAACATAGAAAGGTGGGACACAGTTTTAGGATTGAAAAAAAAAATGGAAAAATTAGACAACAAAGTCCAAGAAACAAGCAAGAAAGGAATGAAATTCATTGAGAGAGTAAATAATGGCAATCACATGAATGAAATGAAAGTATAGATAATGAAGGAGTGAGTGAGAGGAACTAAGGTTGTAGTTTAGAAAGTGAAGGTAAGGAATGTGAAGAAAAGAGCACCGACATGAAACGTGAGAGGAGGAGGCTGGCCAGAGCTGTACCTCACTCCCATCATTCTCACACTGTTGAAACTCTGGGCCCTCTGCTCTCATGAGTTGTGCAAAATCCCATTACAATTTCAGCACTCATAACAATTATTTTATTCTATCATCATTTTCTTTCTATTTTATATCCAATCTTTAACCAAGTAATTCAGAACTTTAACTTATTGTATTCGTAAGTTTTTGTCACTGCTTCATTATTTTTACTAAACTTACACTCATATCTACATATCAATACTAATGAAATCAATGTTTTTACTCTCTCTACTTCTCTCCGTGTATGTCACCTTGTTCTGTTCCTGTTGTTTTGGTGGTACCGCATACCATTTAAGATTCTTTTAGGACCACGAGACTTCAGCACATTTAATAATAGTTTGGTTCTTTTTCAAATCTTGAACACGTTAGTGTTTGAGGAACCCAGATTCAAGATGTCTCTGTTCAAATAAAAATATCACCTTCAAATGCTCAAGAACTCTTTTATGCCACATTCTTTCTTCCAATGTAGCGAATGTTTGTGAACAAAAACTTTCTTAACAATCAAGCATCGGCTTTTCTTTTTCAAATCGTTCCTTTCTGAAGGTAAATCATCGTTTGAGGATTTTGAAATCGTTGATTAAAAAATCAGAAAATAATTTTAGTAAGTTATGATACATATTTCATATGTCTATGTACTTTATATACATTTATTTATTGGTTTAGTAACCAAAATCTTATAAAGATACATGATAGATATGGCATACTTGTTTTTAAAATATACTGGAGAAAGACTGAACGGATGAATTTGTAAAAGAATAAAAGATAAAATATTATTATTATTTTTTTAAGAATTTGAAAATGAAAGTAAAAGAATTTAAAAATATAATTTATAAAAGTTCGTGAATAATTTAAGAGATAAAAAAATGTTTTAATAAATGAAGAGATAAGATTATATATTTATTATTGTGGATAAAATTAATAGAAAACAAAATATAACTAATATTATGATAAAATTAATAACTTTAATACTAAATATTGTTTAAATTATTGTGTATTTAACTTGTTAACTGCTGTAATATCTTAATAAAAACTGATATTGTTTAAATTATAGCGTATTTTAAAAAATAAATGACAATTTATTTATTCTCTTGGATTTGCATGACAACAATTTCTATTAAGTAAATATTTTTATTTTTAAAAAAAGATATTTGAAAGGTCCTCTTTTCTGTCTTTTAGTAGTTTTTAGATTTACTTTCTTTTTCTATAACAGGCTAGATTATAATATACAAAATTTGAAGGTTAAATTACTGTCTATTGCATGCGATGGCGATAGATAATGTGAGAAAAATAGTGAGCATGTTAAATTATCATTTTACAATAAATAGGACTGTCACAGAAAGAATGAAAATACTAAATAATATAACTATAAAAAAATTACGTTTGCCTAATTTTATAGAAAAATGATTTTTATATATTGTTATACATATTTATATAAAATAGATACATAGTACAGTTATAGAACTATTTTGTATACAAATAATACATGCATTATTGCATATAGATTACTATATACATAAGAGAACGGAAAAAAACAACAGATATAAATAATTCATTATAAAGTCATTTTTAATAACAGTTTTTACACGAGTTTCTTAAACTAAATTTTGAAATTTTTGTAGTACTTTTTTAGTTCTCATAATATCATACTATTTTTTTTAACTTTATATTGCATTTTACTTATACTTAAAAATTCACGCTTTTATTCTATTTTTTTTTCATACAATATTCCTTTAAGAGAATGGAAGAATTGGGATAGATAATTTATGATTGCTCTACTAATAGATTTAGCATTTTAAGTTAAAAAAAATACTAAGTCATATTTCAAATCTTAATTAAAAAAAGGAAGACAACATTAATATTGTAATGATTGGGACATAATGTCTTCATTCTTCCCCCTCAATTTTCCCCTTTCTTGTCTACATTTTTAACCTAAAATAATTGAACCATACTCATATTGTGATTGTGACTTCGTAACGAATATAGCATATCACAATGGCTATATAGTGAATAGTGACCACTACTTCATTTATGGATACACCAGGAGAAATTTAAAAAAATAAGTTATAGAAAGTAAAAAAAAAAGAAGAATTTCTTTATGAATTTTTATTTTATAAACAAATTGAAAAATAAAAAATGTAGAAAATGGATGTGATTTTCTTGCAAATTAATTTAAACATAAATTAATGTTAATCAAGTTTATTTTTTATTTTTTTTTTCTAAAAATTCTCTAAAATAAATTGTACGAACATATTAGATTTCAATATGTGTTCATGAGCTAAATTTTCAAGAAAATAGTTTAATGTTAAATGAAAGTTACTTTATCTTTATTAAAAGGATACTTTTAACACTAGTTGAAACTAAAAAGTTTATGTTTGTATTTTAAGTCAGTTTAACATTTTTGTTTTGTATTTAAACATGTTTGAATTCGTTGTGAAAATAAACTTGTTGACCCTTTTAATCTTTATAGTTTTACAAATTTCATCTTTTAGACTTTATATTTAAAAACCATATGTATATTTGTCTCTTTTAGCTTCTATCATGTTTATGTTTGGCTTTGTATTAAAAGAATTTCAAATCAAGTTTGATGATATGTTTGATTATGTTTGAGAAGAGAAGAGAAGATGTTATAATGCGCTAAGATAAAATAATTAATTAACCTGTAACGTTTAATAATTGTATCTATTTATATAAATGTCATCGTTTATTTTTAACTTTGGTTATTCACGTTGATCGTGGACTGATAAGTGAAGATGTCTCTTACAACTTTTTAAATTTTTTGTTCTTTTTATATTAATGGCCGACATGTTTTTTATTTTCCAAATGGTTATCATAGTATTTTTTTATATTATTTAAGTGGGAGAATGTAAACTATTTTAAATACTATAGATTACTATTAAATAATACTTAAAATATTATTGAAATTGTTTTTTTTCCTTAAAATAAAACACAAACTTTTTCTTTAAAAACTTTTTAGCCAGCTTTAATCTGATGTCACGTGAATATCATTAGCCACACCGTCTTAGAATAATTAATGAATCAATTGGCGATGAATGCGCTACAACAATTACATAATAAATAAGATGGGCCCACATATTCCACCTCATATTTCTTTATGCACCTTTATATTCTTTTATAAATTTTCAAAATTATCTCTACGTTTCAGAGAAACCTTATATCTCATTTCTTTTCTTTAACGATCGGTTAAAAAAATCCTTTAACAAATTTCAAAATTTATGAAAAGATTTTTCAAGTTTTGAACAAATTTTAAAATTTATTAAAACTTTTAAAAAAATTCAATGAATTTCGAGATTCATTAGAGAATTTTTAATTTAATAAATTTTAAAATTTATTCAATTCTTTTTCAAAAACTTTAATAAATTTTGAAATTCGTTACTTGAAAAACTTTTCGATAAATTTCAAAATTTATTGAAGAAGTATATTTTTGAAATGTGGAAATACAGATAGAAAAGTGGAGAGTGGAGAGGTATAGAAGAAATACTTCATCTGCATTACAAAGCCCAAAAGAAAATGACGATAGATCCACTAGAAAGCCCGTAAAGTAATTTGATAAAAAAATATTTCTATAAATTCTATTTAACAATAGAAAATTAAATTTCACACAAAATAAATACATTAATACATATAAATCCGATAATTTCAATAATAAATAACGTCCTCTATGATATAACTGAATATGTCTGTCAAAACATATAACTTCTAAAATCATTAGTAATCTTATTATTTTAAATCTAACTCAACATATATGCATAATTGACAATTTAAATACAAGACTAGGTTTCATATTAAATAAAAAAGAATTATTTATAAATCAGAAGATCAATCAACTTTTTATTTTAAATTTTATCAGTGTTATATTTTTTCAGTAATCTTTCCATAAATTCAATATAAATAATGTTTGAATGTATTTAAAATTATTAAACTGTTTTATTTATAGTGGACATGATAAATACATCATGGTAACAACAAGGATCTTGAACATTGTTTACATAACACATTATTATTTGTTTAATAAATTGTAAAAATATAACAGTCTGATGCATAAATTAATTGGGATCGGGTGATTAGAAAGTGAATCCATAGAGTTTAAACTATACAATAGTTTCTGATCAGTGAAACCTTTGTCGTGTATCTTCTTCATTGGAGGCAGTGTTTTGGAGTGAGGACACAAAACTAGCAGACACGTTTTCATGGTTAGGAGGTGCTGGATCTTTCTGCAACATTCCCTTCTCCTCAAATGCTACACTGCTTTGGTATTTGTACCACTTTGCACACAACAGATAAACGAGAAAGTTAAGGAGGCTGAGTATAGCCAAGAACCAGTAGAATAATTCGACATGGTTTTGGTTCAAATCACGTCCCTCTAGCCACCCTTTCTTGCTCTTTCCGATTCTACCAGTTACCAAGTTGATGAGCTCAACAAAAGCTGTGCTCAAGAAGTAACCAATGGACAAGGAAAGAAAAGCAAATGAAGTGGAAAGAGAACGCATGCCATGAGGAGCTTCTTTGTAGAAAAACTCCAACAACCCCACCAGTGTGAACATGTCAGCTATGCCAAAGATTGCGTAGTGGAAAGAGAGCCAGAAGAGGCTGATACGGTGCTCGTTGTGATCATTGAATTCGTGCTTCCTCTTCACTTCTATCAACCCTGCTATCACCATTGAGATTGCTGACAAAACAAGGCCAACCCCAACTCTCTGTAGCTCTGTTATTCCATTGGGGTGACCGGTGATTCTCCTCACTAAAGGTACAAAAACAAATTCGTAGACTGGTATCAAAAGGGTCATGAATACTAAAGGAATTATGGGAATGGAAGCTGCTGGGATTTTAAGTTTGCCCATGTATGTGTTCATCAGGGTTCCTTGTTGGATGGAGAAGGTTTGCAACTGGGCTAAGCACGTGTTCATGATGATGGTGCTCAGAAGAATAGGCATCATCCTTGTCAGAATCTTCACTTCTTCAACTTGTGTCACTGTGCAGACTTTCCATTTCCTTGCCTCCATGCCTTCAGGTAGAACAGCAGCTTTATCTAGAACACTGTTTGTGGACAAAACAAGTATTAAATATGCGTTTCTCTTGCATATGAGTGCTACAAAATGCCTCTTGAAGTAGTTCGCTGTTTAAAAAACTGAAATTAGTATAGCAGAAACCGTTTAGATAGTAGAAAGTCCAACCTGAATTGGTCAGTGTGAGGGATGATTTTTTTCATGAAATTAGAGTCATTGCTTTGCATTTCATACAACTCATCAGAATCCACGGGTACTTTCACCCTCCAGTTCTTTATTGTGACCACCAGCACCTGCAAGAACAATCTCAAATGAAACTTGAAAGAACTTGAATATCAATGAAACATGGAGGGGAATGCAGAGACCTGTAAAACACTTAACAATGGACTCTCTCCTGGCACCCTGGTACGATAGAATTTCTTTCCCGAGACAATGCAAAGAAGACCGGCAGCTGAACATGTGAGAGACATGATAAAACCTATGTACCAATGACGTTCTGTGCTCTCATAAACTACAAAGATGACTCCTATGCTGGCCCCAACTGTAATGCTAAACAAGAACCAATTGAAGAAACTGGCTAGTTGTACGCGTTCTTTTGGTTTCTTCTCGTCAAATTGATCAGCTCCAAGAGCAGGTACACAGCCTCTGATTCCACCACCACCAAGTGCCAGCAAGTATATGGAAGCGTAAAAGAGCAAAGCCTTTGTGCCATGCACACATCTTGATTTTAAACATGGATCAGGCTGAAGTTTCTGGTCGTGAGATTGAATCACAAGTAGGGAGTATCCCTGCCATTCAAAAATATCAAGATTAACTCAATGAGGAAAACTTACTTTTCCTTTTGATGGGTCTATTTATTGGTATAAAGATTACATAAACTTAGCATGACATGAATCTAATTCACATTAGAAGAAGTTCACACCACTTTTAATTCAAAATCTCAATTAATTTTTTTCATATAGTATATTTCACATCTCAAGTACATATGAAATGCGTGTTGAAAAATGTACATTAAAAGATATATTTCTAGCATTTCTGTACTTGAAGTATTTAAGTTTTGATCCTGAAATTAAAACTAAGCAGCTCAGTGTTGTTTATACTTTACCAACAATTGAATTAAGCCAAAGAGGATGCAAGCGTTGAGGCGATTCATATAGGTATCAGAGACGAAGCCTCCAAGAACCGTCAGCAAGAAAGCAGTACCCAACAAGTTTGTTGTGGTGGTTGCAGAGCCAGAGTAGTCAAAATGTATGACATTCATGAAATATAAAACCAAGCTCACCATGTTGGCCACAAAGCCTATGTTATCTAACAACATCATTGCTGCAGTAAAAAACCAATGAATTTGCCTTTGTTAAACAGACTATTCCATTTTACTTCAAGAAAGTTTTAAAAAAAGCTGAACGAGGAGAACATAGTTTACCCACCAAAGATGAAATATGTGGCTCTATATCCTCCTTGTCTCGTAGTCTTATCTGCTTGGTACTCAACATCTCCCACCTTATCCTCAGCTTTCAAATCCTGCAGTGTAAAACATCGCATTCAATTAACCAAATGAATAAACATCTAAGAGTGATCTGATTTGTTAATGAGCATGCAGAATCATTTTTGAACTATTTGAATGAGCCAAAGATAAACATATAACAAAAGGGATGTGGATAATGTATAATATATATGAACCAGAAAACTGTAAACCCTTATACGGGCAAAGTCTAAAACTGCATATTGCAGGCAATATGCAGATAGTTACCATGACTCCCGAATGGAATGTTACAGCTTGAAAGCAGCAACAACTCTGAGAGAAATAGGAAGGAAAGCTTGCTTGTAGTGCAATCCGTTTGAAAAGTGTGCTTTATTTATAATGATCACCCAGTTGCTTTCATGACAAGGGTGACAGAAAACTTGCTAATGAGTAATCATACAATGCTTTGTAAGAAGGGATATCTCCATTGGCTGGTAGTGTTGGCATAGTATGCTAAACCGGCTGTAAAAATTAGTAAAAATAAGAGTATCTTTAAGAGAAAGATGGTGATGATGATGATGATGATGTGATAACTTGGACAAAACCTACCACTGACTTTGCTAAAGCCAAACATATGCTAAAGGTAGTTTTGGAATTTTTTGAGGTTTGATCTGATTGATAACATTGTCCGCCCATAAACTGCACCAAACTATAAATGTTTCATTGCTGACAAAACAAAGCAGAAGTGATCCAACAACATCGTTAATATCAGAGCCTCCCATCTCTATTATGCAACAGTGCATCTTTTATCTCTTCTCTTAACTTTCATGCATTGTGATATTTACAGCGCTAATAACAACTGTCATATGTGTGTAAATAATAAATTAAAGAAATCTGTAGTGTACAAAATATGCTTGCTAAATGAAAATTCGCATGTAATACTAATAGAACACTTACTAAAATAAAATTACTGTATCGATGATAACTAATCGAAATCAAAATAAGATTAAATATGTTTTCCAATCCTATCATGTTATAAAAGGGATTCACTAGTGTAAGAAGTCTTTGTACTCTGGCTAAAAAAGGTTTTTTCTTATGTTAGAAATAGACTATATAAGTCGGTTTTAAACCCAACATAGAAATTCTACCTGGATAAAGAAAAATATACAATAAAAATTACTTTTATATCGACAAAGACCTTAATCGATATAAAATATGTTGATTAACATCACAACAGTCATCTTTTTTCATAAATACTTAAAAGAAACTATGTTTACTGTTCACCAATTTCCTTTAAGACTTCTTGCTCTTAGATACGCATCACTAAAAATCTACACAATTAACAATGGTTTAGTCAACAATCTTCTAGTGAACAATATATTTAATATTTGACTTATCAATTGTATATATTACCAAATTCTATAGTCAATAATGTTAGTATATATGATTCAATGCATGTAAAACATTCATCCAACAAATCAAATGAGTAGTGTTTCTGATATAAAAAGAGTTTCACATTAGGCTATAATATAATTTTGCATGTCCATAGATTGAAGTGATATTTTATATGATTTTTGTAAAGTTTAGGGATAAAATCTTTTATAATTTAGTTTCAAACGAAACACAAAAGAACAAAAAAATATATCACTTATTAAAAATAATATTAAAAATACAAGTATAAATATAAGTCTTATATTAAATAAAAATTAAGATGTTTACAAAAAGTTATCAATTTATTATCTTTTTTTGAAAGTGATGTTAAATATTTTATATATATTTAACTCAAGTCTTATTGATAATGAAAATATTGAGAAAATTTTGTAAACTCATTACTTTTCAAGATTTTTAATTCCGAATAATATTAAATATATTATATGAATTCGTTTTAAGTGTTATTATTATTAAATCACTTAAATAAATTTCTTTAAAAAGGTCAAGAATGTAAAAGGATTTAAATATAAATTTAAATTTTATATTGAATAAAATGAAAATATTGAACATAATATAAAAATTTATAAATTACATTCAAATTTCATTAATATTGCATATAATTGATAATCCTCACTCCAAATCCTATGAATGACTAATATCATAATACCTCTACCGTACTAGTACTCGTGGTTGAGTAACCTGAAAAGTGCATCATTAATTAAACAACACTATTCATCTACTAGTTTTACTGTAAAATATAATTGTACATTGTATAATATATATATATATATTAAGTATTATCATTATTTTATAATTGTTAAAAATGATAGAAATATTTAATTAAAAAAATTCCTAAGTAAATAACTTCCTTTTTTAATTACTCAAACCAATTATATTAAATTGGATTGCTAAATATAGCAAAGATAATACTGACTTAATCCAATATAATTAAATTTAGTTAAATAAATCCTGACACAACCAACTACTTGCCAAAATATAGATGGTAAAAGTCCGTAGAAAAATCAAGTTCATGAAAATATTTTCTTAGATAGCGTCACCAAAAAATCATGCATTGATTGATTGGGTAAGAAAAAATCAATTTGAGTTGCAAATATTTCTATATTACATAATTAGTGGACAAAATTCGTTCAGCGGGAAAAACTCAAACTGTGAGAAACATGAACAAAAAATGTAAATGGATAGTATACGTATGCTATTCAGCGAACTGGTGATTTCAGTTCTGGATCATCCCTCCCTTCATCAAAATAGTAAATTGAGGCCAAACAAATTAATGCATCCGTCAAAATAAGATTGAACACGTCGAAAACAAACTTCGGAGCAAACAAACCCCAAACCTACAAAAATTATTAAGCATTGAGTAAACTGTACAAGCATCAAATATGGATATATGGGTAAATCAAACCTATTTTAAGTTAAAAATAGAAAATTTACCATCAGATGCCGCCTTTGGATTGTGACACATAGTATCGTGAAAGTGGTCGTCATTGCTGTTATGAGCCCATATGTTGTGTATATCTATATAAAACATTGAGTGGTTATTTCATTGAACAAGCAATGCATGCAATGATCAACTAGTAGATCTACTAATAAATGAAGAAAACTCACTTGAGACAATTGTGTGAAAACAAAATGCCTTCCGAGATTAGCCTGGTACTTGATTGCTACAAGAAACGGGAGTCCAAAAACTGGAAGAATGATAGAAAAGCCAAATGTATCAATAGTAAGGAGGATTGCTTGGCGAACAAGCACAAATTCTTCAAACCTGAAAATTAATCAGTCTCAATTATTTGATTTACAAAGTGTATAGCAATAATAACGACAGAGATGACCCTTTTAAAGCCAGTAACTAATTATTCGAACACAATAATAGGGTTGATTGTAATGGTTACATTTGTTTAGAGTCCCAACATACTTCCAAAGGAAAAGGAGTTCAATAATAATTATTTACCCTATAAATGCAGCACCGTAGCGGAGACCATCAAATGCACACCTGAAACCATAATTTTCAAAATTATTACAAGACAACGGGAATGCAGAACAGAGAGTTGCAATGTTATGCATACACCTACTAAAAATGATAATTATAACTCCAAAATTAAACTTTGAAAGTTACAGACATACCAGTGACCACTACAGAAGAAAAGACACGTAGCAAAGAGGCTCCATTGCATTATAGAAAAACTTCTCTGAGGTCCATCCTTACCACCTTCTATTTTAACAAACTTCATAATAAAACAACCTGGAACACATAGAAAATTAAACATTTCTTCACTAAAAAGCATGTTTGAGCTCATGAAAGAAATGAATTGGAGAATTATGCAGCAAGATATAGACAATTTATACAACACGAGCAAAAAAATAAAAAAGGAGCACCTCCAACCATGGACGCAAAAGCAACAATGGGACCCTGTTTTCCTGAGAGAAGAATGACAGTTGAACTCCACGCAGATAACATGGATGTTGTTTTTGCAACTAAATTTGTTTTGCAATCTAAATCGCTTTTCTTAAATAATTGACCAAATGTCAGAAAAAATAACTGCCCCAAAGCAATAGCATAAATGATTCTAGGAATATAAGTTCTTCCAATGCTTTGAGGTATCAATGCGCCATCAAATCTATTACTGTCTGTGATCCAATGAGCAATTATTAGCATATAACTTAATATAGTGCCCAGTATGACAAACTTCCATGGCCAATCAAAGAAGCAGCCACTGGTGGCCTTGTACAGCCAAGCTGCCAACATAATCAGAACAAGTATTGGGACAACTTCAGCTGCATAGTCCCAAACAGGTAAACCTGAGGCTATGTTGATGATCCATGAGGAATAGTCTTTCATAAAAGCAGATGTGGCAGCCTGCTTGGACAGCCCAACTTCAATTGCAAAACGGCAAAATGTGCTCAAAATAAGAAACCCAATGCTCTGCAGAAAACATAGACAGGTTAAAGAGCCATTATTTAATTATAATTCCAATGAAAATTCTATAGGCACACTTGCGTTAGAATGTCAGGAAATCCAGACATAAACTAAGCTTTTAGACAGAGGACAGAAATAAAAAACTAAACTAAACACATACTTCTATTAACAGCTTTCCCATGTTAACTGATTGGCGTAATGTCACAATTCCAGATGTGCTCAAAAGAAAATTCGCTACTTTCCCTTCCTCCACTGACAAAAAGATAGAGTGAAAAAATACAAGGACTATTTTAAAGATTCTGGATAAACAAAGTGGAGAGTATGTTGATAAAAACTGCACACTTACAGATATAACTGTTTGAAAGGAAACTGAATGCACGAATGCCCAGTAAAAAGATTGTAAGAATTGAGGCATTGCCCATCCACGAATCTCCATACGATGAAAATGTCCCATCATGCTCCTTGGTTGTCCTTAAAATGGTAAAAACTTGAAATATAAGTGATATTAACATGATTCCAATGCCAACTCCCATCATATTCAAATCAAATTCAGTCCATTTAGACCGAGCTAATTCAGTGACTGCTGTTAGGAACTTGAAGTATGCTTCAATTTGCTTCTTAAGTGCAGACACTGATGTATTGCTGTCATTTTGTCTATCAAGCAGAAGCTTTTTGGTGGAATGTGACCAATGATTCTCCGCTGCAGCATAGATG